GGCACGGCTGTTGGGCGCTCCCGGGCAGAGCGGCGGGTGGCAGCGCCCGGCATGGCGCACGGGGGGGCGCAGCGCTGCAGGCCCTGCCTCACACCAGACCTTGTCCCTGCACCGCCCCCAAAACTGTCCCTGCCCCCCAGAGCAACAGCACGGTGAAGTACTTCAAGGGCGACTTCCAGGATCCCACCACGTTCTTTCAGGTGTGAGTGTGTGTGTGTGTGTGTGTGTCCGCGCGCACTTGTGTGCACGTTTTGTGGTTTGGTGGGGTATCAGAAAGGGGTCAACAACAGCAACGAAGGGCTTTGAATATTCAGATGCGCCAGGGGGCAAGACGCACGGGATGTGAGGGTTGCCAGGCCATGCATGGCGGGTGCACGGCTGGGGAGGTGCGGTATGCCTCGGGGCTGTGGCCGGGCCAAAAACACGCAGGCAAGCTCGGCAAGGGGCCCTGCCATGGGGGGCGCGTGTATCGTGTGCGCCTGGCCGTTCTAGATGCCGACACCCTTGCCGGAACGCGTTGCGCCGCTCTGCGCCGCCTCCCGCAGATCCCCCTGATGAACGCCGTGGCGCGTGAGGCCGCCCGCGGCGCGCTGCTGCGCGTCGCCCCCGAGCGCGCCGGCTCGTTTGTGTGGGTGCCGCGCCTGCTGAGCTTCCCCCACCCCTTCCTGGACTCCAAGAGCCTGCTGGCCGGGGTGCTGGCCGCCTTCATATTCGCGGCCCTCATGTTTGGGTTTGTCACCCAGGTGCGACCTGGGGGGCCATGGCGGGCAGGGGGTTGTATCCCAACGGCTGCATCCTGACTGGGCTGCCTGGGCCGAGCTGCAGTGGGCGCAGCGGGCGTGGCGCTGGCTTTATGCGGAGTGGGCCGAGCGTCTGAGGGCTTGAGCGACTCTGGCTGATGCGCCCCTGGACCCTCCAGGTTGATGAGTCGCACAGCGCGTGCCGAACATCTGCTGTCAACTAGCACACATGACACGTTGCCAGCAGCGAGGGGCAACCCAACGGATAGATGTCCTGCCAGCGCTCTCCAGAGAGGGTTCACACTGCCAGGCTTGTCATCACAGGGCAGCGCGGCGACTGTCAGGCTCTGCGTCGGCAAGCCCGGTTATACTCTCCGACCACCCGCCCTCTGCCCCCCCCCCCCCCCC